CAGAGACAGTCACTAGTGAGATCAATCACAGGAAAATATAATAAAAAACAAACACAGGATTGCCTAGAGAGAGACAAAAGAAACCCAGCTTTCCAGCCATTGTAACTATTTGGGTGTTGTCCACTTTGGGCGGTAGACATCCCATGCTATCTGACAGTGTGGTATGCTGGTCCATGTAGTTGTAAGTGGCCAGAAGCAAAGTCCTTACAGAAGGTGACAGCTCAGCATTCTCAGCGTGGGAATTTCTTTCAGTGGGGAAAGGAGAAAATGAATGGAAACTGTCTTCTTTCAGTGGGTGCTATGTGGTGAGCTCTTCCAAGTGGTTGGTGCAAGAAGTTTTTATTTGGGGGTGCACTCAGACCCATAGATCCTCTTTTCCCATTCCCTACCAAGTCACTACTCTATCAAATAAATCAAAACTGTTCATTTAAGTGAAAAAATACATTGAAAGGTAAAGGAATATTTAGTCAGTCCCTCTACTTGATAAAGACTCTTGAATGGAAATAATTAGTCACAGATTGTAAGATTATATTTTTAAGTAAATAGAAATGTTTTGAGTAGATACAAATAATGATAAAGACTTCTACCATGACCTTCTTCCTCATTGACACAGTTTGATTAAGGAAAAGGTAAGTAAAAAACTGTAACAGTGTTAAAAAAATGTGTGTCTTCCATCTTTTACTACTGCGTTTCCTGCTGCAGACAGCAGGTTTAACTTCAGTAGTAGAGACTTGGATAAATGTAGATGAATCTCCAGAGGGCAGACTGTTGTCCTCAGGAGAGTCTTGTTGATTAATGATGAAACATTGTGAAATTCCCCAAAAGCTGAGTGTTTGAACGAGTCCTGGAATGTTTCTGTACTCTCCACTTTGAGATGTAGGAGACACTTACCTTCTGGCTCTGAGCACACACTTGTTTGGAGACAGGGTTGAACCACTTGAGTGGTTAAAGTCTACCCAGGTGGAAGTCTCTTCCTTATAAAACTACCTATGTTTTGGTGCCTGTTGTGGTTTGCATCTGAAATGCCTCTTGTGTTGAAGGTGCAGGGCCTGATGCAGCAAGGATCAGTGGTGTGGCCTTGGGGTAAAACTAGATCATGGGAGCTCTGACATCATCAGTGGATTGACTTGTTGATGGCTTCAAAATATAGTGGGTTATGGGAAGAAGTAAAGACTTCAGGAAGTGAAGCCTACTTGGAAAAAGTCATTTGATCATTGAGAGTGTACCCTGGAAGGGTGTTCTCACTCTCTTTGTCTCTCTCCCCTCTGTCTGTATCTGACTCTGTCGCTTTTCTGCTTGCCTGCCTGTCTGTCTTCCTGCCTGTCTGTCTGTCTGTCTCCATATGATAAACAGCTTTGCTCTATAACGTGCTCCCTGGCATGAAGATCTGTTTCATCACAGCACAAACAGCAATGGAGTTAAGTGAGCATGAATGAAAACTTCCTAAACCAGGAGTCAAATCATCTGTTTCTTTTTTAAGGTTATTAATCTCAGGTGTTTGGTCACAGTCACAGAAATCTAATGAAACATTACCTTATTCTGTACAGACCCAGTGGCCTCAGTGAAAACTTCTGGTATGTTTCCTCTGCTTCTTGGGGAAATGGACTTCCAGTTCTCATAATTGTTGGTGTGACACCCCAGTATTGTTATCTCCCAATCTCATGGCTGGGAAATGGCATATGCTCTCAGCCCTCAGCAGCTCTGGAGAGTTCTAGGGTGTGTGTCTTCAGTACTGTGGGAGCTGACGTTTCCGTTGCTGCTTCCTCGGAGGAAACAGCAGCTTCTGTGTGCCGTATGTTCACTTAACACTGCATGCCAACTCGCACGCCATATCATGCCAGCCTGAAGCAAGTGTGCTCACCCGTCCTACATTAGCATCATTGCACTTGCAATCGAATTAATAATTGGCCGTTTTCCTGCATCCTTTAAAGACAAACGTGAGAGCAAGTTTGTCATGTTTATTAAGAATATGCTTATTTTCTGGTATTTAAACAAGGACAGTAGCAATGGGAAATTTAAAAATCCAGGAGTGTTGGTAAATCTGGGTAGACAATTTGAGGGACTTGGAAAGTTTTTCAAAGTTCTTTGAATTCATAATTATTTCCAAATGAAAAGTACAAAAAAACCTCTCACATAAATGATAGGCTAGCTTCATTTATCATAGTTAATAACTTGCATTATAGTGGTTCAGACATTTATAGTGTCCACCATTATAAAACCTGCATCAAATTACCTCACCCTCCTTTAGACGGCATTCATATGAATGAAGAACAGAGGAAAAATCACCAGAAAATGAATTACAACTTTCAAGGAGGCAGGTGGACAGTGCTTTTCCCTGCTCCATGACTCTGCCTGAGTTCCCCTGGGAAAAGTCTTTATTCCACTAAGGTCCTGAAGCACTGTGCACAGAGTCTGTGTTATTGTGTTTTCCAATTTCAAATGAAAAATACAAAGGAAGTGACAAACCATCTCAAATATTTTGACTTGCAAGATTCCTCAACATAGCTTGTCTTGCACAAGAAATGTTTCCCCAGTTCTGAATGGGACTGTGTGGAGGGACAAAGGCACTGCATTTTTATTTTTAAAAGCACATTAAACAGGTCTGCTTCTGTAAAAGGAATGGCGTGATTTCTTGAGAGCTTATGGAAATTTGTGCTGCTGCTTAGTGGTGCGAGGAGAAGTGATGAGTCAGCGCCTTGCTTCAGCATTGTTACTCTGATTTCCTAGGAAGCCAGATCAAACTTAGTTAACATTTTTCCTCAAGTAATGCTGAAATGCTGCATTTCATACTAAAGTGGTATAGAATAGGAATTAGGATTTTGTGTGTGTGTATATATGTATATAGGAAGAGAGAGAGAGAGAGAGAGAGAGAGAGAGAGAGAGAGAGAGAGGGAGAGAATATAGCTAATAATAATCAATATGCAAAGCAAGAAATTCAGTTTTAAAAGTAATGATGAACTTCTGGTGATGTGGCAATCACTGGATAAGCAGATGGAGAATGTGATGGAGAGACTGGAAGGGTCACTTGCAAGACTCTGAACCCCCTGTGTTCTAACGCAAGAACTCCTTTTATGAGCAATGTCAAGTGATGGAAAGAATGGCGGATGTTTGCCAACATGTGATTTGGCTCCTAAAATCTACCTGTGGATACACATGCACATAAACACACAATACACTTGATTCTGTGAGTAGAATTCATACGGCTTTCCTGCTGGAGGCCTATTAAAAGAACCAGTTTTCCTCCAAATGGAGATTTCTTTTATCCTGGCTCAAACCAGACAGCTACCTATTTAGATCAGAAAACCCATGTACATAAATCTGATCTGATAGCTTGTGGAGCAAGGAGACCTAAAACACAGTGTCCTATGGACAAGACTGACAGGAAACTCCTTATTGAACATGGAATGAGTCAGGGTCAGAGAAAAGAGAAGGAACAATGGGCCTTGTGAACACTTACACTCTTGTTTCTTTAGGATGAAGATATTTACTATGAATTAGGGCTAAGAAGTGGCTTTTTCCCTGGAGTTATGTCATAGTTTTGTGAGCAGGACTGAGGAAGTGGGGAGGGGTCATAGATAGTGGGGCAAGGCCAGTTGTCATCCAACATTAAAATGCTGATTCCTCCCTCAATGCTGCGGATATTTGGGAGTCTGCCTCTATTTTCCTGTAGGGTTCAGATACAGGTTGAACTGCTAATTTCAGCAGGGTGGCTGGGCTAGGGAAAAGCTGTGACAGCAGAACAAGGCCATCACCAGGCATCCCGATGGTCTCTTCACATGCTTCCTCAGCTCCTTTGCAGAAAGACTGGAGGCCTTCAGGAGGCAATAAAGGGTCCTCGACAGCATTTCACATCTCTTAAAACAGGAGTTCTGGGAGAAGGGACAGAAACTGCTCATTCTCTTAAGAATTAAGCCTAGAAGGAATTGACAAAGTTTCACTTCTAAGATGGTCTCAAAGACCAACCCTTGCATCATTCCACTTCTTGATGGGGGTGATATACAAGTACCTAAAGGGGGGAGAACCCGACAGACAAGCCGCCACAGAACTTGAAAACCTTTCATGAACATACCGTTCTAAGTACTTGTGTAGTTTTATTATTATTATTATTATTATTTGTTCTTCAATACAAATTTTATTCCATATAAAACATTTCCCAAAAGAAAGTGTTTAAAACAAGTCAGGTGAAGTTGTGATTATTCGACAAATGCCTTTTCGTTTCTTGAATGAATCCTTTGTATCCACCCAGTTTTTTTAGCAGGCATGCCACCACCCACGTGCCAGGTGTGAGTGCTGGCTCGCATTTCTCTAAGTGTGCTTTTGCTAAGTGGATGCTAAAGCACTGGTAATGGCATGAAACTACTCTGTCATCAAGTACTGCACAGTACGTAAGTCATGTGCACATGTGTGTACTTTTTCAATGAACAGCCAGCCATTTAATAAACTTAGCATCAGCACACTAAACTTTATATGATTTATTTTAAATGATTGCTGGTTCCAAATAATTAAAAACCACAAACTGTATGGCAGCAACTATAATACATACACAGTTTAAGAGTTCTTTAGTTATCACATAACAGTAGAATATAATTTTTAAAAGTACAAAGGACAGTTGTAGCATAAGGCTCTGTGGTAGAATCAGCAAATTAAAGACAAACATCAGAGAAAGGTTCTAGAAAGTGAGGTGTGTCCTATTAGAATTGATTTCTTCTTTTCTAACAGTGACTGATTTACAGACACTACAATATCCAAACAAAACAAAATGTTTCTGGAACTCCTAGAAAAGAATTAAAATTAAATTTCAGTAGACGTAACTAACAAGGCTGGACTATCGTGGCAAGCTAACATTCAATCTGTTGGTATCCAATGGCTCACTTATTTTTAGAGTTTATTATACTTGAAACAATATGGCAGAAATCTCAAAAGTTTACTCATTAAATATAGTTTAATTATCTTTTTTTACAAATCTCCTTTTGAAAATGTAATTCATATACGCTGCAACTTCAGAAGTTTGAATTCAAACTCGAGTATGGAGGCAGTGATCGAGAAAGTTGTATCCGGGTTCTTCGTCTGCTGTCTGTACAAGTCAGGACATGGCTCTCCTGTGTGCCCATGGCTGTGCTGCCCAGACCTGGGGACCCTTGAGGAGGTACAAACTGATTCAGCCACTGATTCGGTTTCTGTTGGGATAGCTGGTTCATGCTAACTTTGGGTTTCTGAGGGCCAAAGAGATTATTAAGGGCAGACATATCAGGTGGTCACTGTTGAGCCTGCTTCGCACCAGCAGGAGGAACACTCAAAGAACTGTAGTTTGACAGAGTGGGGGCTGCTCCCAGAGTCATGGTGGTCACTCCAGCTGTGCTCGTACCACTGAAGAAGTTGTGGTTTGGATTGACCGGCATGTTGAACCCCGAAGTCTGAAAGCCCATGTTGGCATTTAGACCATTTGTCAAATTTCTCTTTGTATTATCAATTGGTGTAGAGAACATCATGCTGAGGCCCGTGGAAGGAACGGATGTGACGGTACTTGAAGCAGAAAGCTTGGGAGTGCTAACAGAAAGGCTGCTCAACGAGGTTATGTTGTCCATCAACGTGTCTGTCAAGCCGTTCGTCTGTTTGATGGGCGCAATGGGAGTGTGGACCTGGGGCTTGAGAGGCTGCTGGCTTTTCAGCTTCTGAGCCTGCTCCTGCTCTTTTGCTAGTTTCTGTTTTTCTTCAAGTGTAAGTGACGCTCTTTTCTGTTTATTCTGCAGCCCATCTTCTTTATTTTCCGATTCGCCACCAGTTAGAAGGTCTGCTCCAATGTGGTTAAAGACCTTATCAATCTGCTGACTTCCAGTATGTGCAACGTTTGTCTCCTCAGGAGCGCTCATTTGATTTCCTATGTCCAAAGACCTCTGCTGCTCCTGCATCATGTGAAGCTGCTCCAGCTTAGTCCTGTGCTCTGACTCCAGTCTGCTCAGCATCTCCTTTATGACGGCAATGAAAGAACTGAACTGATTGAGATTAAGATTGTTTTCAATACTCAGGGGAATGAGATGAGGCAGTACTTTTCCAGCCAGCAGCTCTTTGGTGATACCCAGTTTCTTATGAGTAAAAGTACATTTATAAATACCTAAAATTCCCATGAGGACTGCCGGCTCCTTGGAGGGAATCTGTTGTAAGAAGGGTAGGATATCACCAAGTACAAACCACTTATCCAAGTACTCCAAAATCTTTCCTAAACAGACTAATGAATTCACACGAACAGCAAGGGAAGATGTTTGTAAACAGGCATTTTTAATTCTTGGAATCAAAGCATTTTTCATGGATGGGTAGTCTATAAGATTTGCAAATGTTGGGATGATGTTTAGACAGAGCTCCTGAATCTGAATGGAAGGAGCCTCCAGGGCTCTGTAGACCATGGGTAGCACACTATTCTTTATCTCATCAGGAGGGGTTTTGGTTAGGAGCAAATCCATTTTTCGTAGGAAAATTAACAAAATCTGGACTGGCTCCTGCTGTTTAAACACAGGACCAAGCTCGGGCAGAATTAATCTGACATACTCTTCTTTGGTGCACTCCTCAGCGATCAGTAACACATTAGGCAGAACAAAAGGTACCATATCAGGATTGACAAACTCTGAAGTCAAACAAGGCAGAATTCTCTGCACGATGACATGCTTGGGCAGCTTTGGTAGAACCTTTGGCAATCCTTTGAAGAATTGTGATTTCTGAAGATCATCTCTTTGAAATAAGGTATCAAAATATTGAAGCGTGACTGCACCAACATCATCAAAGAAGGGAATTTTTGTCATTTGGTCTGCATCAGGCCTTACAGTTGGAGTTACATTCAACAACCGTTTCACGTGTTCACAAACTTCTTCAGGTATAATTGTAAGTGAACTAGATCCTAAACGACTCAGCTGATCCAACTGTCTACTGAAACTCTTGTAAATATCTTGCTTGTTGACTTCAAATATAGGTTTCCCTTTATTAAAGACAGCATATATAACAGTTCCTAAAGAATACATATCACTGGCTGTTTCACAGCTCACGGAGAGGATGTATTCAGGAGCCAAGTATTCAGGATTTGGAAGACACAATGATGGTAAGTTTGGGTCCTACTCTTTACAAGGAAATTTAGGCTCTTGTTCAGAAGGATTGCTTGATGACACACAAAAATCAAAACCCATTATTTTCCAAGCTCCACTTTTATTCAAAATTATATTTTCAGGAGTAACATTTCCATGAACCATTTTCACACTGCTAAGCAAAAATGACAATCCTTCAGAAACCTGAAGCAAACCATACTTAGTTTCTACATCATAAAGTTTATAATCCTTAATGTCTGGAGATATTGAAGAGGGTAGATTTTCCCAGTTACCAAGAACATTGGCTAAACTTGCAAAAACTGGTTCTGTACAAAATGCCAAGCAATCCCTTGACTCTTCTAAAGGATGCTGGACCGTAAGAAGTCGAGGGTGGCGTAGCCGGGTGAGCTGTTGGACTCCTCGTTTTAAAGAATCGATGATTTGATCCTTTTCAAATTTTTTATATTTGTCAATCAGCTTTTTATCAAAGACAAAAACAGCCACTTCCTGTTTAGTTGACTTCTTTGTGCCATTAAAAATCTTCCATGCCAGCCCATTGCCACCACTGGCAATATGAGGATCAACATCAAATTCTCTAGTGACAGGATTTCCCATAACAGCACTAGTGACATCAGCTGTTACTTTGGTAACAGTACTCTTCAATTTATTAAGCATGGACTCCATGGCTGCAGTACTTGGTAGTTCAAGTTTCCTCGCAGCTGGCTACCTGGAGGGGCGGTGCTGGGGCCAGTCCCTGCTGGTTCCCTCAATGCCTCCGGGCTGTGGCTCAATGCCTCCTGGATGTGGCTGCTTGGCTGCTTGGCTGCTTGGCTGCTTGGCTGCTTGGCTGCACTCCTGACCGCCCCTGAACGCTTACTTCATCTCCTCTGCCACTCCCGAGGCTGCAGAACCCCAAGACCCAGGAGTAAAGGGGGAAGGAAGGGAAGGGACCGGGGAAGAAGAGCACGGGAGAGGGAAGAGCACCCAATGGCCTGCCTGGTCCGACATGACGTCACTTCCGGGTCACTTGTGTAGTTTTAAAAATAGGTGATCCACTATGTTTTTGTTCTTTTTTGTTTTTACATTAACCATAGGGTTTATTCCAGGTAGGGAGGGGTAGAGTGGGGGGGGGAGGAGAGATGAGAAGAGACAAAGAGGGTTAGAGAACAGAGAAGGGAGAAGAGAGTGAAGAGGAAGCAGAAGTACACTATGGTCTTCCTAGGTTAAAAAAGTCAGAGGATTAAAAATCGTGTTTAATCACTTCAAGATGCACATATGGCATAAGGAATTTCTGAATGAGATCCCTGTCACTCAAAATAGCCAACAATAAAAAAAATGGGACCTCATGAAATCTAAATGCTCCTGTAAAATAAAGGAGCCATTGACTGAGTGAAGACACAGCCTATAGAATGGGAGAAAAAATTGTGATAGTTATACATATGTCAGAGAATTAGTGTATAATACACAAAGTGTTAGTATTCGAGTATCTGTACTGGCCTGACTTTGGCTTCTCATAGGACACACTCTCAGCTGCAGCCACTAAGAGCACCACCTATGCATGCACATTCATGATGTTCCATTTAAAAAGGGCCCTGACCACCTCTCTCTCTCTCTCTCTCTCTCCCTCTCCCTCTCTCTCTGTCTCTCTGTCTCTCTGTCTCTCTGTCTCTCTCTCTGTCTCTCTCTCTCTGTCTCTCTCTCTGCCTCTGCCTCTGCCTCTGCCTCTGCCTCTCTGCATCTCTTCTTCTGCTCCTGTATCCAGAGGCTGGTCTCCCTTCCCTCCCCTTTTTTCCCATTCCCTTTTCCCTAAAAAACGAACAAACAAACAAACAAACAAAAAAACCCTCTAAGTGAGTTCTGTGGCAATGCATTTCATCTTTATCTCCCTTGCTGCTTTTTAAAATTGCAACACAAAGGACATCCTCACAACTAAACAGGAACTCAAACAACACAATTAAAGACTGGGTCTGTAACTAAATGACAGAGTGCTTGACTCCAATGCATGAATCCAGTACTGAAGAAGAAGAAAAAGGAGGAGCAGGATGAGGAGAAGGAGGAGGAGGGGGAGGGGGAGAAGAAAGAGATCTAATTAACAAATATACTAACAAACTGAACAATTCTCAAAAGATGAAATACAAGTGTCCAGTAAAAATATCCCAACAGTGAAATACAAATTAAAATTAAGTTGGGATTATCTCCCTATAGTCAAATTGGCAGACATTAAGAAAACATTTCACAACAAATGCTGGCAAGGCTGTGAATAAACAGGAAGCCTTAATACTCTATGTGAAAATATAAGCTAGTCCAGTCACTATGGAAATCAGTGGGAAGGTTTCTCAAAAATTTATAAAGATCTGCTGTAGGATCTAGCTGTATCACTCCTGGGCGTTTATTCAAAGACTCCAAGTCAATGTGCTGCAGAGATCCTTGCATATGAGTATTTATTGTAGCACTATTTGCAACAGCTACGTTATAGAACAAATGAGAAGAGCTAATGCACAATGGGGTTGTCTAGTCCTAAAGAAGAATTTGTGTTATTTGCAGGGAAATGGATGTAACTGGAGATACATATATGTAGTGAATGTACATACATATACATACATATATGAAGCCATTCTCAGAAGGACAAATATCACATGCTCTCTCTCACTCACATAAAATCACACATGTATATATTATATGAATGTGGATGGGAAACTCTATAGAGAAGCAAAGGGAACTTCCAGGAGGGGTGGGAACGAAGAGAGGAGGAGAGCATGGGGGAAGATGCTCGACATAAAATAGATATCTGTATAAAAATGTCACTTTGTAACATAGTACATATACAATGATTATACACATTAAAAATTAAAAACACAAAAGATGTGCTTAAATGTGTTATAAGTCAACATAAAGTTTAGGTGATGCTAGGACATATGGAATTATACTAGTCTCTGGAATTGTCTTCATAGGAAAAAATCGGTAGAGACTAATTACTTGAGTTGCTTTAAATGAGGCTGGAACAAACATACTGCAGGGATCAATGTTACATTGGCAAGGAGAGGCTGCTAGTCTTTTTAACTCCAGTATCTATGATGTGTTGGAATATCTGCATTCTTTTGTGGCCAATAAAAGTATGTGATAAAGTTCACTGAACTGTCAACATTGTCTGTCCATCTGGGGGGTTGTGTCCAAGCATGTGACCAGATCCCTGGGACACTATAGAACTGTGTAATCTTTCACCTAATGCAATTTGTTGGCATGTTAAAGGAAGTCGAGCACATCACAGCTGTGATTCTCATCTAAGCAAACACTTCTTCCTTCTCTACAGGAAAAAAAGTGTGGAAATTCTTCCATCAGGCTGTTTGCGAGTCCCTCGCTTCTCCATGTCAGCTGCCCTTGGCTGCAAGATAACCATAAAACATTTACTGCAAAGCCATGAAGAATCCATATGTCCATTTGATGTGTCAGGCCACCAAGAAGCCAGAGCTTGTGGGGTAGCATAAGGATATCTGAAGGTGACACATGCTGTCAGTTGATGAACAGAGATGCAGAAGGGGATTCTGGCAGCCTCTGTCTTGGCCTTGACAACTTGTGATGGTGACCAGGTGGGGTGTGTTATCTTAATAGTCTGGAGCTCTTGTGAATTATTTGCTGATAGATGTAAACAGCTGTTATTCTTGGTAATGGAAAGCAATTAGAAACATCTGTACTCTTGGCTATGAGTAATGCCTCCTATCCTCACTGCTCCCAAGTGCCAATTGGAAATAACTACATCATCGGGATGGTGTTGGCAATTCTACACTGCATTATGGGCTGATGATTAGTACTGAGCTGTGAAGAACAAGAGGTGAAATGTGAGAGAAGGAAGCTTTACCTGGGATTTACAAAGCAAGAGGTGAAACTTAATGCTTCAACTGTGCAACAGAAGGCAAGGATGGCCACTCTGGGAGGGGCGTGTTTGTGTCAGTTTCAGAGCTATGAGTCCTAATGGGAACAATGCTGATTTATCCATTCAACAAGTTGAGCACAGAGATTATGTGTAAGCTACAAAGTGACAGGGCGCAGGTTTACATGCTAGCCATTCAATCTAAATGACCTTGGGTGAGTTGCTTAATCTCTTTGTTTTTTTTTTTCTCTTCATCTACAAAGTGAAGATAAGGCCCACTTTACAAAATTAGCATGAGAAGCAAATGAACTGCTGCATGAAAAGTGCTCTTAACTGATTTTTTGCACTGGTGTGCTTTTGAATACCAACTTTCTGATTCACAATACAAAGCTCCGGGTTCAGCCTTGAGCAGGACATTAAAGACAGCTTCTCCAACAGGGACCAGGACATAGAGTACCATTCAGACAAGTATGTAAGAGGTGGTTAAGTTTCTTAGTGTATTAAGTTTATCTCTCTTTTCTCAAAAGAAAAGGATAGGGTCTAGACACCAGCTTTCCCCAGATGGAAGAACAGGGCCTGTGATGGGCTGAGTACATCCTTGCAGTCCCTAGTTTGCTGATGGCTTGAAGGAAATACGAACCTGTATGCTGTTACTTTCAGGGAAGATAAGAATTAGTCTCAGAATTTTTGTTGCTATTCTTGTTAAGTAATCATCTTCAAAATTGAATTGAAACACAGGGAATCTTTCTAAGGGACTGTTGTTTAAGACACTGCTCTGCACTTCTCCTTAGGAAGGTGGCATAGTTTGGGAGAAGAAAGTATTCCTAAGGATGCCACATGGAATCCAAGTCACCGAGACTGGGCTAGACCAGCCATTGCAGGAATGGAGTGGAATAGGTGAATGTACAGACACTTAGTGGAAAGAGCTCTCAGATCTTGCCCTTCCCAAGGGCAGTTAACAGTATTAAAGAAAAGCCAATTCCCTAATTAACTAATTAGTTATTTAATAATTTGTTACTAACTTCACAAACATTTACTGAGCATCTACCAAGTGTGATGGACTTCTCTCTATGTCTGTGAATCACATGACGAACAAAGCCATCAAGTTCTGTTGTCATGGAGGATATATTCTATCAGGAATAGACTGGCAATAAGAAATAACATTTCCAGATGTCAGATGTCAAGTATCAGTGATTTATGTGATGAGGGTAAAAGATAAAAGCGATAGAGAATGAGGTCTGGCTGCACAGACTAATATTCAAGAAAGCCTTCTCTATGGAACAGTTTTATGTATGGTGGAGAACTCTATTGCCTTACATATAACAGAGCCTGGGGGCTTTAATATGTTTTTGTTGGATGACTTAATGAAGTGATTGGAACGCAAGGAGTTAAATATTTACAAAAACAAGCAGGTTAGTGTGTGTATTCAGCAAATGTATTAGAGTGATGAGAAGTAATCTACCCTCAGAAGACCCATGGAAATGTACCTGGAAACTATCACATAGAAAACCTTGAGAAGAGAATTAATTTGTCATACCATTGTCCAAAGGGTGTAAAGAAATGAAGAAAGATAGGTAAACAGAGCCCATGCCCAGGAAAGAAACACAGAGATGTAAACAGAGCTCATGCCAGAAGAAAGACAGAGATGTAAACAGAGTCCATACCTGAGGCACTGGACAAAAAGGTTTAAGTCAAGCAGTTATGAGGCATACATTATGTTTTGAAGATGTGACTATGACTGATGAATGAAAGATAACTGCAACATTATGAGAACAGAAATTGATGACCATGTAAAGGGATGGTGGTCCTGTTCTCATCTGTAGATGCCGAGATAAGAGTTCACAGCAGTAGGTTTGCTGAGGGGCAAGGAT